TATATACACACACATGATATACATTGGGTATTTTTTCGTTCATTGAATTAAAGCTTCAATTTGGCAGGTGTTCCAGAGTTCTCCTGAATTACGGTCCAACCTTGATCCCAACGCAAGTTACGGAGAATCTCATGGTCACAACACTCCATTGCACTATGCAGCCAAGCATGGAATGAAACATTTATTAAGGTTTGTTGTGGATGGTTACTTTTTTTATTTTCTGTATTCTTTTTTATATATATATATATAATATCTCTCTCTCTCTCTCTCTCTCATATATATATATATAATATCTCTCTCTCTCTCTCTCTCTCATATATATATATATATATATATGATTTATATATATATTTATGTATGTATGTATATATATATATATATATATATATATATATATATATATATATATATATATATATATATATATATATATATATATATATATATATATATGTATATGTATACATATATATAAATATACATATGTGTATTTGTGTATTTTTTTAGTCTTTTGTCAGCTTCCTTGCTTTTGTTTTTGTCACATTTGCAAGTTCATGACTATTTCTGGATGTATTTTCTACTTTTTGGTTTAAATATTGTAATTTTTCAGAAGTTTATGTTCTGTGTAATACCAAACTAAAAGCTTTATCTGCTCTTTGTTTCTGTCTGCATCTGTATGTTAAACATTCAAGCCATAGAATCTTAGGGAGCCACATACCTGTGTTTAATACATCTCAACATAATCAGTGGCATAAGTAGTGTTCCTCTACCCACAGGACCTTTTTATGTGATCTTGGGGGGAATCCAAATAAGAAAAATGCTGAAGACGAGAGTTCAGTCCATTGTGTATGCCGTGTTGGGCAGGCCAAGTCACCATCAGCTGAGGAGAGAAGAGCAGCGTGTGTTGTTATGATCCTTCAGTGGAGAGGACCTGTCTTGCAAGATGGGGAGAAGGAAAGAGCGCAGTTAAATGCCCAGGACAAGGTATGGGTCGATCGTGGTCATATTGTGCCCCTTTTTTTTTAATTTATTTTTTTATTGTTTATTTGCAGATGAGAGCAGCTTTCTTATGATGAAAAGTGTATATATTTTGTAAAGGTTTTCAAATGTGAGTGCTAGGCTTCATAGCTTTACAGATTGTTTTTTTGTTACTGCATTATATTGGTCTATGAAGAGTTAAGAATCAGTTTACTTATGTTGGGTTGCATGCGTGTTGTACATATGCATATATATTCATATATGAAGAAGTTTTATGATCAGCAAAGGCAGAGAAAAGAGAGTGTGTGTGTGTATTTTTACTCACATATATAAATGCATATTAGCTTTTACAGATTTAAAGGAAATACTTGTACTACTTTTCAAGTTCACCTTGAATGACTTGGACAGATTCAATATTGAATTATTTCTTGCACTTTGCTTATAACTTTTATTTTTAGCGTTCCTTGAAGCAAGCACATGTGGTTGAATTTATAAAGCTTTTTTAAAAGTGATTTACTCTTATTTTTCTTTCATCCTTACTATTAACCGCTCACTTCCATTGATATATAAAGCTTTATGCCAGCACAGGATAATATGTTGCTAAACCTTGGTGTTACAGAAAGGCAATACGGCCCTCCACTATGCATCAGCTTCAGGACTCCGGAAGTGCGTGGAGCTGCTTGTGGCTCAGGGGGCGGGGCTTTTTATAGAGAACCGCGACCGGTTAACGCCTTGTGATCTGGCTGTTAAATCCACACATCATGACGTGGCTACGTTTTTGGAGTCCCGCATGGTGTTTGTGAGTGGATCGTCTCTTTTTTGCTGTTGGAAAGACAGGAAAGATTATCATGTACTTAGTTTTTATTTGGCTAGGTGTTGTTGTGGGAGGTAATGCAAAAACATGTCTTTGACCTGTTTATGCTGATTTTAAGTTGACTTTGATAGCAGGATTTTGTGAAGAAGCAGAGGAGCCTCATCAAATTTATTTGTAGTCTTAGCTTGAAAGATGACTTAAGATTTATCATGATTTCAAAAAGTGGCCTCATTGAATAGAAATCTAATATATTAATCTGACAAGTAAACCTGCCAATGACTCAGGCTGACAGCAGTGATGGCATCAACGAGGGGGAGGTGGTGGGTACTGAGGTAGAGACAGACTGTGACAGTGAAGTCTACTCAGGCCTCCGAGCCCAGGACCTGCAGGAGGCAAAGGATCAACTGCTTGTGGAGACGGCCGACATGCTCCACATTCCTCTCTTTACTGCCGAGGCTCTTCTCAGGGATAATGGTAAGTGTAGGAAGTGCTTTTGAATCTGTGAGAGATTTGCATAAGGACAAGTGTCTGTTTTCTATATCAGCATTGTTTTGTTTGTTGTTAATTTTACTTTATCCTTTGTGCTTTCTTGTTAGTTAGTTGCTAAAGTTTTACTGTGTCGCCAGAATGGTCCAAGGCATTGCTCTTGGAGAAGTGGATGACAAATGCCGTTCAGTGTTGCGAGGCAGCGGGGATTGCACCGCCTGCCTCGGCTCTCCAGCTAGTGGCCCCAACGCCTCCTATGATGACACCCTCCCCACCCAGTTCTGTGATCACACCTCCACCTCCTCCTCACATCCCCGGGGAGAGCATGGAGGAAGAGGATCTCGGGGAAGGGAGCGTGGAAAATATGGTTAGTATTGGTTGGGCTAAATAGGTGTAGGTTGAGGAATGTAATATTCGCCAGCCTGTATGCCCTTACTACTTTCCAAATGTATGAAATATGAGTCTTTTTCTCTTTTTTCCTGGTTTCTTAATTCACTTTGTGAAGGTTATTATCATATTTACTTTTACCGAAAAGGCATATGAATTATTTGAGCTTTTCTTAAAATCTAACTTTTTAGTAGTGAAAGATTAGACTGACCATCACATTTGTTGCTATGTAGAGGATTTATGCTGAAGAATTTGTGAAGAAAGGATGAGAAAACACTTATTGCGTGCTTCCTCTCCCTCCCCTTCATTGTTAATTTTGCATGTAGTATCTTATTACTTTGTGTCTTCATACATAGTCATGTTTAGAGAAGAGAAAAAAACAAAAAGATGTATTGGTAAGTCAATTAACTGTTAGATCAGATGAACCTTTTCTCAGTTTTAGTGAAAGTCACGGAATGTGAATTAAAGCCAAACATTTGGATTTCATTGGACAGTGCTATCCACAGTGCGACATCTGCTTGGGAGAGATGAGAATATGGGAGCTCGGGGAACACGTGGGAACAAGCTGCGAGCACCAGTTTTGTGCAACGTGCTGGGAAAGGTACCTGACACTCAAGATCCAAGAGGGCGGTGCACATCACATCCTCTGTCCGGCCGTCCGGTGCAACATTCTAGTAGATGTGGATTTCATTGAGAAGATGGTTAGTCCAGAGATGGCGAGAAAATATTTGCAGTTTGACATTCAGGTTAGTGTTGATGTGATTTGAGTCTTAAATAGGATTTGTAAGAGCTGATTTAAGTATAAGGACATATATTTATGGAGAGATACACTGTGAGTTTTTTTTGGTATGGAAAAATCTGAAAACTATTAACATCATCAAGTGAGAATATGATTATGTATCTTTCAGGCTTTTGTTGAGAAAAACAAGACAATCAAATGGTGCCCTCAGCCTGGATGTGGAAGAGCTGTCAAGTTTCCAGAGGCAGAGCTTGAAACACAACCTTTCTTCTTCCCAAACACAAAACCACCTCCAAAAACTTCCCATGCTGTGGACTGCGGCAATGGGCATTTTTTCTGCTGGTGGGTATTATTCTGTCTGTGTCTGCCTGGCTGTACCACTTCTCCCCTTACCTACCTACCTACCTACCTACCTACCTACCTACCTACCTCCCTCCCTCCCTCCCTCCCTCCCTCCCTCCCTCCCTCCCTCCCTCCCTCCCTCCCTCCCTCCCTCTCCCTCCCCCCCTCTTTCCCTCTTTCCCTCTTTCACTCTTTCCCTCCTTCCCTCCTTCCCTCCCTCCCTCCCTTCCCTCCTTCCCTCTCTCCCTCTCTCTCTCTCTTCCTCCCTCTCTCCCTCTCCCCTCCCCTCCCCCTCCCCCCCCTCCCCCTCTCTCTCTCTCTCTCTCTCTCTCTCTCTCTCTCTCTCTCTCTCTCTCTCTCTCTCTCTCTCTCTCTCTCTCTCCTCTCTCTCTCTCCTCTCTCTCTCCTCTCTCTCACTCTCACTCTCTCTCTCTCTCTCTCTCTCTCTCTCTCTCTCTCTCTCTCTCTCTTTCTCTTCTCGTCATTACTTGCCAAAAAAGTATATAATTCTCAATTTAAAGCATGCTACAATTAAAATCAGACAAAACCATACATTTAAATGTCTTCAACAGGGAGTGTCTTGGCGAAGCACACTCTCCATCAGGGTGCGAACAGTGGATTGAATGGCAAAGCAAAGTTGCTGAGGTGAAGCCAGAAGAGCTGCGCATCAACTCGGGAGAGACGGAAGATGCGGCGAACTTCCTTTGGCTTGTCACCAATTCCAAGCCGTGCCCCAACTGTAAAAGCCCCATCCAGAAGAATGAGGGCTGTAATCATATGAAGTGTTCTAAAGTGAGCATTAATATTTTACTGTGTTTGTTTTACCTTGAGGAAATAGGTTTTTATGTTATGTATGAATGAGCTTCATCTTTTTCTTCTTTGAAATAGGTAAATGCATATAATTTCATCATATGAGTAATGATATCATGATATTGTGATGGTAATACTTCATCTTTATTTCAGTGCAAGTTTGATTTTTGTTGGGTCTGTCTCGAGAGCTGGAAAAAACACTCATCGGCAACAGGGGGATACTTCCGGTGCAACAGATTTGATGCGGCAAATAAGGCCGATGAGAAGCTCGGAGTTTTAATGTCAGAGGTGAGTTAATGTCACTCTCATTTCTGTGAATGACTCTTGCGTTTGTTGATAGATTTCTCTCTCAGCAAAGTAATTATGTATATGAAAAAAGATGCTGTATGTTTTGTTATTTTTTAGATAATATTCTGTCTTGTCTTGCTTACATTTATGGCAACCAACTAGTGAGAATTCAAACCAAAAATTTATCCTCGTATTTATTTTCTACAGGCAACTGTTCGGAATCATCAAATGCAGGAACTCAATAGATTTATACATTATTACACACGCTTTAAAAATCACCAAAATTCACTCAAAATGGAAGAGCCACTATTAAAAACTGCTAGAGATAAGATGGAGGTTCTTGCAACCTCCTTACCATCACAGGAACAACAAGGACAAGGTAAGTGATGCAGTGGGGATAGGGGAATGGTGCTAATTTCCCAGTGTCAGGTAGTCTTAGGTGTCTATGGCAACAGCTTGTTTATTATTTAATGTTTCTTATCAGAGAGTAAGGGATGAAGAATACTCAAGGGCCCCAAGCTACCCTTGCAGTCAGATTAATACTATGATAGATAAAGAATAGTGTCAAAAGAGGAATAGTGCAGAAGTGAATGATATTTAAGACTATTTGCAAACTTTACTTGATTTGTGCAATTCTTTTAGTTAAAATGAATGTGAGTGGTTTTTATAGGTACAGTAAGTCCCCAACTTAAGAACATAATTGGGACCGAGAGGCTGTTTGTAAGTTGATTTGTTTGTATGTCGAAAGTCAGGTCTCCATTACCTTTTTTCCCATTGTTTTAAAGTTTTGTTTACATTAAGAATACCTGTAAACAAATTCCAATAAGTACAACATACCTTATACAGTACCAGACTCTTGAACTATTTTTGCGCCCGGGAAATTTGAAATTTGCTAGCATCTTTCAAAACAATTTTTTTGACTTTAGTACTTAAAAAAATTTGTTTGTATGTATGGAATGTTCATAAGTAGAATGTTCTTAAGTAGGGGACTATCTGTATTTGTTTACTTCTCACAACAGCATCTGTGGAGAAAGGGACCAGGTTTGTGGAGGAAGGTGTTAAAGAATTATTAAAGGCACGGAGAGTCCTCTGTGGTTCCTATGTGTATGGATATTACCTAGAAGATAATGGCTATAACAAGACCATCTTTGAGTACATGCAGGTAAAGTGTCTCTTGTTTATATTTGTCTTGTTTTTTCCTGTCAATTTTCTTAGTATTACTTCTGATTCTCCAAATTATATATATATATATATATTTTATATTTGTTTGCCTTTGATATAAATTTTTATGTGTGAGGATGTGTAGTCATTCAGTAATAGCACTTGACTGAATTTGATCGAACTTAATTGTAAATAAATTAGTGCCATGTGATCTGTTTCACACTAAGGCAGTCTTTCTTTTGTCATATATTGATTGTTTTTAAGTATTAATTTTCCTGTTCATCTTCAGAACGAATTAGAAGAGGTGACAGAGAAACTATCAGAAATGGTAGCGCGTCAGTACCTCGTAACGCCTAGAGGACAGATTATCGCAACAACTCTGCTCACTCGGAGACGAAGGCACAAATTTGTAAGAGCTGTGAGCAGAGGTCTCTTACCCCCAGAAACACCCCCCTCATTGCGCAAATCACGGAAGAGGAGATTGCCGGGCCTCATGGGGATGGATCCAGCGGATGACGTGAGTCTGATGTGTACACAGTGTCAAGTTTTTGTACAGTATGTTACAGCTGCTTCTTTACCATTCCTGTTTCTTTAAAGATATTGATTTGTTTCACATTATGGTTATGCTCTCTCTTATTATTTATCTTTTTTTTTGTGTATATAATAGCTGGTAACCAGTTTGTAGAAAGAATTTTTAGTCTGTATTAGCTATAGATCTTGCATTATCTAGTGTATTGACTTATATATTAATGGCTTAATGTGCATTTATATTTCCCTCTTGTAACTTTCAAATCTGACATACATGATATTTCCATACGTTTTGAAACTATAATAAACTGATTAATGTGGTCATATAAGGATGAAAATGGAAGAGTATAAAGACTGCCAGTCATTTATTTAGTCATATTTATATAACAAAAAAAATTCTGGCATGCATTCTACAGAGGGACAGCTTGTGCCATTTAGCTATGTGAAATGAGATGAATTTCTTAAACAAGCTTTAAACAAAACAGCAAAGGGAAGGGCTGGGAAACACAATTCCATCTTGTTCAGATTATGGGGAACGTGTTTGCTTCTCTGCTGTTTATGCGTTTGTTTTTGTTTGCAAGATTGACGTCATGTGTTTCCTTTAGGTCTTTTAGTCTCATCTTTGTGTTATTACATAGTAATCATTTATATATTATTATTCAACTTCTTTTTTTATTGAACAGTAGTTTTATCATTGCTATTGTGAAAAAATAGATGTATCTACACACATACATATATATACATATATAAATCTAAATATGCGTGCGTGCGTGCGTGCGTGTGTGTGTGTGTGTGTGTGTGTGTGTGTGTGTGTGTGTGTGTGTGTGTGTGTGTGTGTGTGTGTGTGTGTGTGTACAGATTTATGTATACATTTGGATACATCAATACATGTATCAGAACAAGCATGTTGAAAATTATTCATGAATTTTCATTCTTTTAACAGACATTGAATAATGATTTTAACTGTATCACTTAAGAGTCATGCAAGATGGCTATTCATGGTATTTGCATCATTGAAGTAATATATATGCCATTGATAAGAAGAGATTTGAGATACAGCTTGTACTGCCTCATAACTCACAGCCAATTGTGGTATTTTGTGGGAGCCTTACACTAAATTATTGAAAATCTTTTTTTTTCTGAAAAAGAACAAGACAATAATTTTTAGAAAATAGCTTTAATTTTGCCTCTAAGATTACAAAGAAAATGTTATTATTTTTTTTTTTAAAGGAAATATTCATGTATGTCAGTGCAAGCAAAGCAAAACATCTGCCACTCCTTTTTGCATTTATTAGCATGTGATAGATGTAGAACATGCTGTAGATGCTTTTAAAATATCTTTGGTAGTCTTGACAGCTTGCATGCGATATGCTGCCAATTAAAAAAAAGATAAAAGTATAATGAAAATTTAATTAAGTTCTTACCTCAGTGTCTTTTTGAATTTACTTTTACAGTAGAACCTGGATTATCTAATATTGGAATAAAACTCAGCTGCTTCAAGGGGTGTTAGTAAATTGTATCTTGTAAAATTTGACACATAATCTGTGTGATAAGAAGTTACTGTAGTTTTGTTAGAGTTTGTGTGTTGTATCTTTTAAGAGGAAACTGATTCCATTGTATAACCCAAATTTGAAAAAAAAAATTGTGTTGATTGAGCATTAATATAAATCAGAGATTAAAAAAAAAGCTTCTTGCTTAATATTACTCCAACAATATATATTGAAGATGGCCATAACTAGGATTATTGTTAATATATTTTGATATGTTCTAACAATTTTTGTTAAGAACTTTGAAGTTTTCTAAGCCTTCCTTAAACCATTTTTCATACATGTTTATATATGTATGCTTATAATATCTATGCAAATTTTTAGGCAAAAACTTTGAAGAGTCCTGATTTTGGTTTCAAGAAAAGATGCAACCAGGTTACACAAGGGAATATATATAGGCGTATCCACAAAACTCATATGATAAGGGGTCCATCCATAAAATACGTACCCAAAACTAAAGAACTAACTCATTTCGTTTGTCTTCACCTTTTTTTTTTCTTTTTTCTTTTTCTTTTTTTTCTTTTTTTTTTCTTTTTCTTTGTCTCCCCAGTCCCTTTTTTGACAAGCATGCACTGTCCCTGGTCCCGTTTCCCCTTTACCCCCTCTTGCTGCTGTCCCTCAAGAAGTGCATGGCTGACGACACTCCACACCGCCTCACTGTGTGCATGCAACTTCCTGAGCTGTTCTCATGCAACCCCCTCCCCCCCTCCCCTCCGGCATATATCTCGCAGGGCATATATCTCACGTGCGACAATTTTTCTTTTTCCGGTGGGAATATGTACCGTTTATTGCTTATAGTCAGATATATATATACTTTTATTCTTTCTTTTCTCTTTTGAGGGGGGGGGCATATGGTTGCCAGATTCCCATGAAAGAGGTGCCGAGTTGGAACATGTGCTCTCTCTCCTCCGGTCCCCCACCCCTGTCCCCCGTGCCCCTCCTTCGTCTCCCTTTCTCTAGCTTCAGCCCTGCTTTTCCCTGATCCCCATTCCCTTGTATGTACTTTATGGATGAACACTGATGCTCATTGGTCTTGTATATATGATAGATTTAGATGATATTTTGATAGTTGTGATGTAAACCTGATTAAGAGTTGTCAAAATGTTAACTGACATTATTTATATATATATATATATATATATATATATATATGTATGTATGTATATATGTGTATATATATGTATATATATGTGTATATATATGTATATATATGTGTATATATGTGTATATATGTGTATATATGTGTATATATGTGTATATATGTATATATATGTATATATATGTATATTTATATATATATTTATATATATATTTATATATATATTTATATATATATTTATATATATATTTATATATATATTTATATATATATTTATATATATATTTATATATATATTTATATATATATTATATATATATATATATATATATATATATATATATATATATATATATATATATATATATATATATATATATATATATATATATATATATATATATATATATATATATATATATATATATATATATATATATATATATATATATAATGTGTATATATATATATATATATATATATATATATATATATATATATATATATATATATATATATATATAATGTGTATATATATATATATATATATATATATATATATATATATATATATATATATATATATATATATATATATATATATATAATGTGTATATATATATATATATATATATATATATATATATATATATATATATATATATATATATATATATATATATATATATATATATATATATATATATATAATGTGTATATATATATATATATATATATATATATATATATATATATATATATATATATATATATTATATATATATCCATATCCATATCCATATCCATAGGTATATATCCATTAACAGGGTATATATAGAATTTAACTTTCCCCCAGTGCAGCATATGTTTTGATCAGAAATGTGTTCATGATGATTGGTGCATAATATGAATGAGTTGGATCACTTTCTTCTACATGAAAGGGATTGGACATAGATACATTTAGATAAAAGAAAGTATTATGGAGTAAGTTAGATTCAGTTTGTCCCAAATAACTACAAATTATTAAATGTTTCTTAAGACTAGGCTGTGTATCTTTGCTTAAGGAAATTGTTGAAGGATAGGCTATGAAAAGTGTTTGTTATAGGAAGTAAGACTTAATTGAACTGATTAAGAAATCAGGAATCCACTTATTTTTCAAATAGCTGTAGCAATATTTAGTGAAAGAATAGGAGACTCATAGATTTTTTTTATGTCCAATAATGTAGATAATCCAGGTTTGAAGTTAACCTACTTTTTTATTTGATTGGAATGCTCATGTATGTTCTTAATTTATTGTGTCTTCTTATTTTTTTTGGTGTTACCATTTTTTTTTTCTCTCTCTTTCTGTCTCTCTCTCTCTCTCTTTTTCCTTTTTTTATTTATTTTTTTTGTCCTCCATGCCATCTTCACCCCAATTATAGGAAGTTGAAGCAGATGTTGATGATGATGATGATGCAGTGGGTGAGGATGATTTCGATGTTGTGCTGATGCTGTGCCTCGGCCTTGAGCCTTAGTTGCCGCTAGCAACACTCCTGCACTGCCTTATAAGTGTGCACAAGTAAGCTCGTTGTCATTGTCATTTTATTTATTTTTTTTCTAATTCCCCATTGTTTTTTTCTTACAACTCGTTTCTGTCAGTGTGTGCTTCCTATTTAAAATTGCATCTGCTGAGACAGAGGAATTTGCGGTGTTACTAATACATTTTGCCTTCATGACTCTCATAGTGGGGCGAGCCTCATCTCTAGGATGGTTATATAAGTGAATTGTTATATTTTCAATAGATAATTTTTATTGTCTTATTATTGCGTTATTCAATATATCTATGCATACATTTGCTTGATTGTTCCTTTATAATTTGTCATTGCAGCTCCGTGAATTGTGTCTTATAAATGGATGGCGAATTATTATTTCCATTACTATTACATTTATTCTTATTGTACATTCTGACGTTGAAAGCAAAGTGACGCAAGGGATTGCAAAATGTAAACAAATCATGACATTAAGATTATTTAAGCTATATTTTTTGTCAATACAGAGTTGTGGAGTTGTTAACCCATTCACGCCGTGTGTCACGTATACATGACATGCCCACTGTGAGTTGACTTATTTAATTGTTTTTACACATTGATGACTACACTTATACTTGTACTACCTGTCTCACTTGTTTACCCTTTTCTTTAATTTACGAAAATATTTTACGTTATCTTATTTTGCTGTTACTAATGTTTATAACATTGTAGTAATTATAACGTTTATAATAAAAATAACCATCGATATTCATAGCACTAGTAAAAATACATTTTCCCACCAATTCAAGTAAAGGTGAAATCAGGTAAGGCAGAGCCATCTAGTGTAGAGACATTTCACAAAAAAATATAAAAAATGAGCACAGCATTTTCCCTGTTTTTTGTTCATTTTAACCCAAAGTCTCTAGGAAAATGTTGCATTCACTGTAGTATTTTTATAAAATGTCTCTGCACATATATGGGCGTGCAAGTGCTTAGCCACAAAGGAGTCATTTAGTAGACCTCACCCAATTTCATCTTTCTTTGAGTTTGCTTAAAAAAATGTTTTTTTAGATTAATGTTATCAATATAGATGGTGTTATTCTTATTTTAGACATTATGATTATTATGGTGTTATTGACATTACTAAAAGTGATATTAGAAACCAAAAAATAGTTTTGGGGATGAAGGAAATTGGCTCTTTGGTGACTTAGTACTCATGGAGCCGTCTCTGTGTAAAAACATTTAATATTTAACTGACAGTGGGCATGACATGGATGTACATGCCATCCCCAGCTGCTGTGGGTTAACATTATAGTAATTGTGAAATCAGGTTTTTCTTTTGTTTGGTGTTCAATACACTAATACTGTTTTGATACATCATGATTGTTGTAATTATCATCATATTAATGTCTAATGTAATAAATGATGTAAGATAAACCACTACTACTAATCTAGACTTATATACAATTGCCCATTATTCTGTGTAGTATTTCGGGAGCAGCTAAAGCTTGAATAGCCTAAATAGCTGCAGAGAGCACTCAGACCGCAAAGCTTAATCTCTCTTAGCCTACTTAACATGCATATTTATACAAGATTATATAAAGGGATCAGACTGGATTATTCAGAATGATTCAAGCTCAACTTTTCTAGGGGGACCGTATCTTCATTTAGCTGAAGCTGATCTATTGTAATCTACTTTAGCTTGGTTTAGCTTGGTTTAGCCTAAGCTAGCATAGCTGAGTTTAGTTTATTACAGTAAAATCCTCGTCTGAAATATCTTGCAATACAGAGAGTGTAAAAGCATTGGAATATG